TATTTGTAATAATTCTCTAAATGCGACATATTACGACAAATTAAAGGAAAGATTTCGGACTTCAAATCTTAAGATGACACGATTTTACTGCCTAAAGTGTAAGAAGGAAACCGAGACTGCTAGTGAAATACAAGATATGACCACAAATGGCTGCTATCGTTTACATGGTGACTGTGTAGTTTGTGGGATGCATAAGAATACTTTTACTGGGATAGACTGGGTGATCAAGAAGAAGACTAAGGAGAAAAAGAAAGAAACTGCTGCTAAGAGACAGCAGACGACTTACAATCGGCAATGCAAAAAACTTGGACAGAAAATCTTAGATTCTGATGACACGTGTAAACAGTGTATTGATAAATGCCTTAAGGAGGCAAAAAAGAGGAAGACGGATTAGTACTGTCTTCTAAACTTATCTGGATATGCTCTATTCTCAATACCCATTGTTCAATTACTTATTTTTTCTGACGGGGGCGGGACGGGGTTGGTCTTACTGGCTCTATAGACCTTCTAGGGGCTTACCTACTAATTTACCTGGTTTGCTGTCTCACTGCTTCCAATAGATTATTAGACGGAATCCTGACTTGTTCCAGATGTTCCGGATGTGGCAGATCTGCCCAGTAAAAAATTGAAAATCCGGAATTTGTTCAGAAAATATTATTGTACGAATTCTGTACAAATTCCGTACAATTAGTGACTGAAAATGTACTGAATATGTGCCAAATTATGAAATATTCCGTACTTGTACAAATTCTGAATTATGTTGAATTTATACAGAATATAACCACATTTTGTCCAAATTTTGTAATGAATTTGTACAAATTATATACCAGTTTTGTATTCAATTCACGATGTAATACCAGCCGAAATTATAATTCAAATTTAATAATACTAGCCAAAATTATGGCTCAATTTGCAATGTAATGCCAGCCGAAATTATAATTCAAATTTAATAATACTAGCCAAAATTATGATTCAATTTATTATAACAAATATTATGCTAACAATACAAAAGAGAAATCTGACAATGAAAAAATGAATTATGAAAAACAACAGAGAAAAATAATCAAGGAGATAAAAGAACAAAGAAATAGGAAAGACAAAAAAATTAAGGAAGCACCAAGTAAATAATAATGAAATCACAAAGACCAAAAATAATCATACAAATTAATGATAAAAACACGAAATTTTAAGATTAAAAATGAAATCCATAAAGTTTAAAGAACAATCCATAAAGTTAAAAAAAAAATGAAATAAAGTTAGTAAGACAAAAAAAGGAAAAAAAAAAAAAAAATACCTTCAATACAAATGAACCTATAATGCCAAACTGAAAGAACTTAAAAGAACTAAAAAGAGAAAATAAAAAGGAGAAATTAAAAATGAAAATGAAAAAATAACTAGAAAATAAAAAAAAAAAATACCTTCAATGCAAATGAAACCTATAATGCCAAACTGAAAGAACTTAAAAGAACTAAAAAGAGAAAATAAAAAGAGAAAACGAAAATGAAAAAATAACTGGAAAATAAATAGAAAAAAAAATATCTGACGCAAACAAAACCTAAAAAAAGAAGGGAATAAAAATGAAAAAGTTGAGAAATATACCTTTAAATTCCCAAGTTCCAAATATAATATTAGATGTGTCCTTAAACTAAAAAAAAGAAAAAAAAAGGATAAATGAAAGGAAAAAGACAAGAGAGGAAAGAAATAAACAAAACATGTCTGAAATCTGTGTTATGCATGCACTGCGCCACATTCCTGATCACGTGATACATCCAATCAAGAAATTCGTGATCATCGTGTCGCACTGATCAAATATTATGCTAGATTTTTTGACAACGTTAACATAAATAATGTTTAAAACCTTAAACTTGAAAATAAAGTAAAAAATTTAATTATATATATATAATATAATAAATATATTATAAAAAATTTTATTGAAAAATTTCTGGATAAACATTATAAGCATAATTAATTAAATTTGCACTATCTTCTAATTGTTAATAATAAAAATTTTTATATTCTTTTTTTCTTGATAATCCTAAAAAGATGTATAAATTAAAGTAAGTACTGCATTTATAGAAATCAAACAAAATTTTTTTTTTAAAATAAAAATTGGCCTCAGAACACTTGAGTCACCAAGATTTTCAACCTTAAGAATCAAAAAATGCAATAAGTGGGTTGAGCTCATCCGGCGGGGTCTACCTCATTAGAGTGTCCCTTAGGTCGTCAGCCATTAGCACCCAACTGCCTATGACCCAATGATACATCACCACTACCTTCCAATACCACAAGATCCCAAGTATTATATAGGAGCACGGCGCTTTCGCTATGTGCATACCCTGCCTCCATGATACGGCTTACCATATAGAGGTCTTAAAATGGTGCATTTCATCAGCAGCCAAAAAAAACTCTCGAATGATCCCCAAGTACAATAGTACCTTTTGTGAAAAATTTCAGGGTAATCTGCATATAGTTTCTGTTCTTTTTATTTTTTTCTTTTTTTTTCATTTGTTACAATTCTTTCCTTTTAGTGAAATAGAAATATATATTAGCATAATAATAGTAATGATAAAAGAAATAATATGTCGCAAAAACTTACATTAAATAATGTATTTAATGTTTCTTCAGCGTTTCAGCTCTTCGGTTCTAAGATACGTTTTTTTCCTTATTTCTTTTTTAGATGATAAAGGAAAATAATTAAATATATTAACTTACTTTTCCAAATCACTTAGGCAAAACTTGTTAGGTGTTGGATAGAAATGGAATAAATTTTTTTAAAAAATAATAAAGGCAGAAGTAGGAAATAAAAATGTTTTTAAATTAAAGTGGAAGAATCATGAAGAGAAAAAATGAAATAAAAGAGTTAAAAAAAAAGTAAAATTTTTTTGAAGAAACTTGCTGATGAGAGGAAAAAAAAAATTTGAGGATTAAACGCGTATATATATAAATATCAAAGATCAGTACTTTTGCGTCATTTGCGTCACAAAATGCAATGATATGATGTGGTCACACAATTGTAAATTGTGGATAGTCTAAACATAACGCCTATGCGATTACAGTATTTTTAAATATTAAAAGTTAACGGCAAAGGTATAATTTAAAATTCAATCAAGCCTATAAAAATATGTGATGAAAAAATTATTGTATTTTAAATAGAAATTTATTTAAATTCAAACCTAAATCAATAAAACGACTATGCTAATTACAAACTACTTGGTTTTCTTTATCAAATATATAAATTTTGTTATTAAGCTCTATGAACCCAACACATCTATCGATATCTGATATATCAATAAATCCATATTTTGATGATTTCCCTTGGAAATACTTTATACCTAATTGATCATTTATGATCTTATTTGACCAATGTATATATGCCAGCATCCTACTTTCACCCAAATGTTTGTGAACCAAATAAAAAATAATTTCGCCAAATAATTCTTTATCCTCACTTATTATAACCTAAAATAATTTTTTTTTTGTAATATTAATGATTAATAAGAACATAACAGGTAAATAAAGATAATTAAACAATAAAATTTTACCGCTACACAATAATTGTTTCTAGATATTTTATCACGTTTTATCTAGGACGAACCAACATAGTGACCATCTTTTGTTCGCATACGACCATATTTTATACATTTATTATCTATTGACTATAAAAAATTATAAATAAGATTAACATTATATTTTAAATCAAAGTAAAGCATGTAAATTAATTAATAATATTTACTTACAGAAACTATTTCTTCTTTGGAAATTTCTAAAATAGCAGAATAAAAATGTATAAGTTTTTGTAATTCATTCCTTCTATCAAGAGAATAAATTACACTTGGAAAATATAATTCTTCATCATAATTTTCCAAACTAAATACTTTGTGTTGCGGCCAATTTTTTCTTGAATTATTTTTTATAATATGTTTGGATGCTGAAATATATGACAAATAATTAATCTTCTCCATAAGCATTACATTATTTGCTAAATTAACATATGGATGTAATTTGGAATGCACTAGGGGCAATAGCATTCCACACAATCGCTCCATGGGATATTGCCACGATACCCAACAAGGGCCACAGTCTTTAATGCTATCGGCAACATGCAAAAGGTAATGAAAGGACATAAGCATTGCGCTTAATTTTTCTTCTTTTTTTTGATAATAATCGCTATGATATCAGAATTTTTTAAATGAGAATTAATGTATTAAACAAATAATGCGTTTATTTAAATAATATTTATTCATACTCACCTCTCATAATGTTTGTAAAATTCTAATAATAATTGCTGAACTTTATCTAAATCATTACTCGTAAGGGTGAATTGTAGACATTTTTGAACAGCTTGAACAAATTTTGCCCATCCTTTTAAATATCTATACGTATTTTAATTATATTTTATTGTTTTAAATTTTCTGCAATTACAAACAAAAAAAATACTATAACTTACTTAGCCGATAATTTATTCAATAAAAACGGGATGGAATAAACTGTTATCCAATCTGACCATTCAACAGCTTTATATCCATTATGGTGCTTAAAAATATTTCTTGGCGAGCGTCCGAATTCTAAAGGAATTTGTTTACGGCATTCATGCATAATTTGACCTATTTGTTTCCATACTTGGCTATTAAGAACATATTGTTCATTATTTAATGATTGATCCTTAAAATAGGTTCCTGACCAATGCTTAAACATGTTTATAGAAATATTTTCGAAAAAGAGATGCATGATATCTACAGGAAATGATCGCGGAAATTTAGTTGATTTAAGTTCAAAAAGTATACTACGGCCATTAATTCCTAATTAAATAAAAAAAAAATTATGATATTACTAAAATTCAATTAAAAAAATTAATTTAAATAACGTTAATTATACCTGTTTCTTTAATGACTGATACTTTTGTTTTCTTATTAGTTTCATTTATAATCTTGCTTATATCATTTAAAAAGTTATCCTCAGTACGTTTAGGAAGTTCTTTAGGATCAAAGTCCGTAATATCACTAGTTCTTGGCATAGAACATGGAAAATATACATGTCTAGATTCTTCAGAATATACACCTTTCAAATAACAATATCTACAACCAAGATATGCGTTATGGCCTGTCATACACATTAATTTTGATACAGCAGGCATGTCTCCTGTCCACATTACAACGTGACATCGTAATATAAAATTTTCTTTTAATAATGCATCATATATAGATACTCCTTCTACAATTTAAAATAAATATTATCTATTAATTTATCAATTTAATTAATATAATATAGTTTATTAATCTTACCTTGAAGAACTTTCAATTCATCTATAATAGGTCTTAAGAATGAATTAAAATCTTTAGGTTGATTAGGACCAGGAATAATTGCTGAAATTAACAAATTTTCCTTTTTTACACGAATTGTTGGAGGAAGATTTGCATTAATAAACATTAAGATCCAGCAACTATCCGTCTTTTGCCTGAATATTTGGTATCCGTCAGTGGAACCAATTAGTGCTATGTCTCGTTCGTCAGAAAAAAATCCTTCTTCTACTAGTTCTTTGTATAAATCCCCATCAAAAATATCACTATATTCATCATCACATTCTTCTCTTTGACTCCTATATCGCAATTTAAGTGCTCGTTCTGAATCCGCATACTGAATACGAAATCTTTCTAATAATGGAAAATACATTGCAGTTTTTTGTGGTTCTTGCGGTTTTTTGGAATTATTGCTAATAATATATCTTTCTAAATTACAAAAACGGCATGTTACATCATTAATATAAATTCCCGTGAAAGCACAACACGAATTTTTACACATATCAACATGATTTAGTTTTAAATCAACTAATCTATTCAACCTCTGTTTTGCTAAATAAAGTGTTGACCCTTCGCCTAAACCGCCCCCAATAAGATTAAGGATATTAGTGAAAGCATTGTTGGTAAAATTGTGTTTGCATTTTAAATCTAATAAGCGTAAAGCAAGAATCATTGATTCAGAAAGTTCTGATACTATAGAAATAATTTAAACAACATATTAGCTTTGTAAAAATTATATATAAATACAGTAAATACGGTGAATAAATAAAAAATTTTTACCAGTTTCATTAGAATCATCAATTACATCGTCATCTATGGACATATCACTTAACGATTCTTCTAAGTCATCATTATCATCATTTGAATTTTGTGATTCTTCTAAATCATCATCATCATTTGAATTTTGTGAAGAATCTGGAGTAATGTCCAAATATTCAGAATCATAATCTTCTAAAGATATATCAGCAGAATAAATAGAATCATCTAAGCTTGGTTCTGAGTTGTCAGACTCATTATCACGTAAAGAGATATCATCAGCGGGATGTATAGGAGAATCATTGTTTGGAGACAATTCATTATACTTTTCATAACTAGAATCAACGCCTAAATCTTCACTTTCATTTTGATTAACAATTTCTCGTTGAAAAATATCTTGTTTCTGATATTGATTTTGTACAAGTTCTCTAAGTTTGATATTAAGCATTTTTATTAAATTAACACTTAAAATTAACTTAAATATTTAATAACATTAATACTTACAATTCATTTTCTTGATTAGTTAATGGATCATTTATTGAAAACATTGAATCAAAATTATCTAAATAAGTATGCCATTCGTTTTCTTTTTTATTATGTCTCCATTTTGTCACAGTACTAACTTCTCGACCGCCAGCTACAATATTTAACGCTTTACACTCTTGACATTTACAAAATACCATTTTTTTAAAATACAAGAAAAAGCTTACCAATTTAGATATTCGCCTTTTTTTTTTTTTGATAACCGTGTATTCGCTTTTTTTTTAGAAATTCACTTTTTTTTTCTTCCAAATTTATCAAAAAAAAAAAAAGCCACCAAAGCCACCATTCCTAAATTTAGAAGCTATTTCCCTAAAAAAATCAATTCGGTAAAAAAATTTAAGGAGTATAAAATATTGTTACACATGTGTAAGATTAACATGAAACAAGAATTTTCTCGCAATCCTTACAATAACAATTACAAACAATTTTAATTACAGATATTTTTTTTTTTAAATGCACGCGTGATTTTATTAAAGTGATATTAATAAAAAAAGTATTTTAATGTATGAATGTCGTTTACTTATACTGATTGTCTTGTTTCATGTTAATCGCTATGGTCTTATACAACATATTCACAATATAGGTCGTACAAGATAGTATGTCGTACAAGTATGAGGAGGATATATTTGCTACTCTAATAGGCAATAGACATTGTATTGTATGCAAATACAATTGTATGCAACGAATATTATTAATATCGATCTCCATCCAAAAGGATCACATTAGAATCAAAAAAAAACACCATTATTATAATTTTTTATTAAAATCGATCTCCATTCAAAAAAAAGGATCACATTAGAATTAAAAAAAAAACACCACCATTAATTACGTTGAATTGTTATTTAATAATAATTTTACCGACTACGGTGTTCAATTAAGATCCAATTAAGATGCAACCGATTAGTATTATACTGTATATCAATTTATCAATTGCAAATTAGGTACTTCTGTATGCTATCTGCCGTACATGAAAATTGATTATAAAGGTGTAACTGATTAGAATCATATATCAATTTATCAATTGCAAATTAGGTACATAAAAATTGATCATAAAACATCATAACAATTAATAAAATTTATATAAATAAAGTCCATTTTTGACATTCGATATTTTTTTAAATCTTACATTTGATCATTAAAAAAAATCTATAATAATAAAATAATAATCAATATCAAATGGCTGCTCCCGTATTAAATACAAATTACCAAGATAATAACAATCTTCGCTCTTGGCCGATGGACGCCACAGAGGCCCTGATAAGACGTCGTCGGTATTACCACAACCGATTTATTGATACTTGCGTTCAAAATCAGGGCACTCTGTGGCAGTACATCTCCAATCATATATATAATAATCATAACTTTAACGTTACGGCAACACAATGCCGAACTAAGTGGAATGCGCTGGTCGCGGGTTATGAAAATTTGAAGCGACTATTGTCCGATAACCCGGAGGGGTATCGGACGTACACCCCATCATTTTACGATCGGCGATTTCATCATGAGCTGTCTGACAAATTTTGGTATAACATGGATAATTATTCAATTAATTAATTTTTTTATTTAACCAATATATTTATTTGTATTATCTATTTTTTAGGCCGGTATCAGGCAGCTCATCGAAGAAATAACGTCGATAGACGTAGAAACGAATACAGAAATCGAACCCGTTCTCCTCGTCCTTCTCGTCCTCCTCGTCCTCGTTCACCATATTCTTCTCCTCCCCATTCACCATATTTCCCTCATTCACCATATACTTCTCCTCGTCATTCACCATATTATTCTCCTCATCATCATTCATCATATTATTCTCCTCGTCCTCATCGTCATCATTATCGTTCCCATCGCCGCCATCATCCTTATTCCTCCCACTCTTTCCATCATCACCATCATCACCATTCTTCTCGTCGACATCATCGTTATTAAATTCGTTTTTTTTAATTATTTTTTTATTTTTATATATTTTTAGTTATTTTTTATTATTAAATTCATTTTTTTTAATTATTTTTTTATTTTTATATATTTTTAGTTATTTTTATTATTAAATTCGTTTTTTTTAATTATTTTTTTATTTTTATATATTTTTAGTTATTTTTTATCATTCATTTTTTATTTTATATTTTTATTATATACATATATTTTTTATTTTATTTTTAGTTTACAATAAATTTTATAAAATATATATTTTACTACGGTAAAACGCATCAAACTTTTTTTTTTGTGACTATCGTGTGATCAATTTATTTATTACAAATGTGAATTATTGCAAAAATTAAAACTACCGTATATATTTTGTTTAAATATATAAATATGTATACATTATCCCCTGATCGGCACCATTTACACGATTATGCAATTGTAGTTATACCTACTGGGTAGCAAAATTTATATGTATTTATTTATCCGTTTCTAGGAAATTTTGCGGTAAAAATTAACTATTGATTATACTATAATGGACTGATTTGAAAATTTGAGTAATTCAGAAAGATTTGCATTTCCAAATGAGAAAATCTTTCTTTTAATTTATTTGTAATCTCAATATTATTTTTCAAGTGTAATAGTAATAGTTCCGAAGCTTTTAAAATTCAATTATTTTTTTAAAATCTTTTAAAATAAAAAAAAACCAAGCAAAAGAAAAATAAGATTCAACAATTAAATATACTATATTATACTCACGATATACTATAAAACACTTACTATTGTGTAAATGGCAGGGGATAAATCAATTATCTCCTGGCTAATTGGAATAGTAAAATTTTACTTAGAATCGGAACATGATCAGCCTTCGGCCGATCATTTATCCAATCCTAGTAAAATTTTACTTATTCCTAATTAGCCAGGAGATAAGTAATACGTATACGTAAAAAAAAATTTTTTTTACCGGAATCATCTGATAAAAATAATCTCACCTCCTTAAATATTACATCATTTTCTATCGTCCTGCATATACCAATGAGCAAGTCTTCATCTATTTTCTCCAATATATGTGTGATAAGTTTCCAATTTAGTATTTTTTCCATTCCTATGATGAAAAAAAAGTTTTTCCTGAATGATCAAAAGTTTTGCGTCAATCGTAACTTCCTTTCTTCGTGTTGACGCATCAGAGCCTGTTACATATAAATATCATCCTTTTTCTTAACGAATTGTTTTCACTTTCTCTCTCTTCTCATAGGTTTATTCTCTGCTGGTAATATGTATGTCATGATTTATCTATTGTTTTCTTTGTTGCTGAAGTTACAATTACAAATACTTAATCTTCTCATTATATTTTATAAGATCTTCATCCACTATGGCTCGTGGACCTCATAAATCAAAGGCTGCCAAAGCGAAATCTATACACCGCTTTAGGATGAAAATATTGAAGAAGAAGCGAAAGGCAGTCTATGAAACAGGTGGGTGAATACCACGGCTTCCGTACATAGTCTGGCCTAGGTTTAAACTTCTGTAAGGTGACCGTGAACTCGCCTCAGGCTGATGTTTTTAAGGAATCCCGGGAAGTACCTGAATTGTTGGACTGTTGGATTGTCTAGCCTTTGCTTTAACGGGGCTCTCCTGCTGGGGCGAGTGATCATAGCTTGACCCCACCTTCTGTCTTTCTATTTTTTCTTTAATTCCTTCCCTCTTCAGGTTATGTCGAAGCTCTCGAAAAAAGAATAAATATATTAGAAGAGAAAGTGAAAAACCTAGAAGAGGACAACGTTAAGCTTTTGGCCGAAAGAAATGATGCAATTTCAGATTTGAATGATAAAGTTGCTAGAATCAGGGCTTTGGAGATGGATCAGGAGTTAAATGCGCGTATTAGACCGGGAAGGAAAAAAAAGAATAGTGATTATTAATAAAATAAATATATTATAATTAATTCTTAAGAATAATTATATTTTTTACATATATATTTATAAACTTTCTTGTGTGACTATCGTGTCAAACTCTCTATTGTTGCCAGAAACAATTAATGATGCAATTATTGTGTAAAGATTTTTTTTACTATAAAATATAAAATAATGGGTTTTTTCCTAATTAAAAAAACTACCATGATATATGTTTGAACTATGGCGTATTTTTTTTTTAACCAATATAATATTATTTGTGACACTAATATTTTTCACATGGAATTAATGCAAATATTAATGCACATATATCGATCTTGATAATAGATCTCGATAGTAGTTGTAGATTATCCCTTAAAAGTGTCGATTGATCAAAAAAAAAAAAAGACTCTAAAAAACTAATTCCAAAGAACTATTATAAAAAAAAAAAAAAAAAATTATAGGGTTCAGTTCAAAAAAAAAATGTCCAAAATCCAGTTGATCCAATTTATTATATTACATTAAATTTTGCTACGTGTTGTAACACGTCGCGTCAGCTGCATGATTTAAATACCTTCACGTCTGTGATTTTAAAATTTCATCTCTTTTTTTTTACGAATTTTTCTAATATCAACAATGGATCGAAAAAACCTACAAGATAAACTAGACCTCTTATCGAAACAAATGAAACAAATTCAAAATGAAATGTATAGTCTGCAAGAACAAGAAGACGGTTCTAATAATTTAGTACGTAAAATTGCATTTTTGACCATTTTGATATTCATTAATCATTACTCATATATTCTTTTTTAAGGTTAATACACCTGATATCCCTGCTTCTACGGTCAGTAATTTTATAAAACTAAGTGCTATTTGTATATCTAATTTTAATATTATTTTACTTTAGAGTCATCAATCATCGCCTCAAATCCTTTCAGTTGACCCGCTTTCTACACCTACAACTGTCTTATCACAACCTTCTCAAGATGTAATCATTTTTTATTGTTTTTTTATATTATAAATTTTCTATTATTCTAACTATATAAATCGATCGCTCTTGATTAATATAAATTATATAAAATTGATTGATTTTCTAATTATATAGACTCGTCAACAATCACCAATCCCAAAACCTTCAGGAAATTACGTTAATATTCCTAAAACATTGAAACTTTCGAAGATCACGCTTAATGATTACCAGGTAAAATTGAGTTTACAAATAATTAATCAATCATCATATTAATAATATTTATGCGAATTTAGAATCATATACGTGATTTAGTCAAGCTTCATGTCGATCTAAAAACAGAATACAAGAATCAAAATCTGAAAACAATAGATCTAGTCGTTTCAAAAGTAAAATCGTAAAAATTTAATTTTTTTTTAAAAAAAAATTTAATAAATTTAAATTTTTATTTAAAAAAAATTTAATAAATTTAAATTTTTATTTTTTAGTTTAAAAAATGTAACACGACTTTTCCAGATACCATCAATGATTGGGCTATAAAAATGATGATCAAGCAGTCCATTAATAATATACGTAAGTGTTATATTATTGTTAAAAATAATTACCATATACTAACTAATTAAATTGCTTATTAGGTGATTACTATAGGAGGAAAGGACATGATAATAAAAAGGTGAATAAAGTACCTAAAAAAGTAAGTTTTATTTTATGTTCTTAAAAATTATATATTTAGATAACATGGTCTAATACGTAACCTTTTTTATATAGTCAAAAAATAAAGAATCTGCTGATGATAATAATAATACTAATATTGATCAAAATAATGGTTCATCCGATGAAATAAATGAATCGGTAATAAAATATACTAGACTTTGTTTTTATTTTATTGTAAGCTGAATAAAAATTAACCAAATTATAATTTTTTGTATAAAAGAGTAGTGATAAATACAAAGAAAGTACTCGTCAAATTGACAAAAGTGATGAAATTGCGGTATGCATTTATATTTTGATTATTTTGATTTAATGGTAATAATAATTTTTTTATTATTATTAGGATAAAAGTGACAATGGTAAAGAAAGCACCAAAATTGGTGAGTTTTATGATAAATTTAATATTGAAATATTTGAAAGTATTAAAGTTAAGGATTTTTTTTTTATAAAAATAAGTAGAGACGGTACAAAAGCAAAAAGCACCTCTAGTTACACGTGCTAAACGCAAACGAATAGAAAACAAAGTCAACACAAAAAATAAAAATAAAAAGAATCACCTGTAAAGTTGGCTTTTGCATTTGATATAATAAACATATAACAATTCACCGGAAATGTCACATGCAATTAATATACGATTATTATTAATTATGCAGGTTCAAATTTTTACAATTGATTTAATTGATTTACAATTGAAATAAATTGTATGCAGTATTAAATAACAATCATTGGTATCATACCATACAGATAGTTGGCACGGTATAACTGTGGTTTCCAAAAAAAAAATCAAGTGAATTCACGTGAAATTTAAACAAAGCTGGTGCAGTTCTTAAAATTATTCCGTATAAATAAATTTAATTATGCAATATTTGTATCAAATCAAACCGATATTAAATTAAATAAAAATCATGTATAATCTATTAACAAATAAATCAATGAACTACACGCGAATTTACTTTAAATTCAATTCTTTTATTATTTTTTTCAATAATACATTATATTAGAACAGTAATAATTATACTTCTCCGCGAATTAAAACTTAGAATGCCGAAATATTACGGCACAGATACCAAATCTGACATAATTATTTTGACGGACGAAATGTATTTTTACAGGCGTAATTTATTTTTACAGAAGATATTTATTTGATAAATAATTCATTTAATAAGTAATTTATTTGACAAACAAACAATTATGATGGACTTAACATATTAAAATAATAAAATCCATCTTTTAATTTACTACAAAATAAAGTAAATAGAATATTAATAAACATTCTTACATAAAAAAAACCAAAAAAACCTGCAACAACTATCCGTCTCCATTTCCAAGTTCCAAGCCAAAATTTACAAAAAAAAGAAGTAAAAGAATGTTAATAAATATTCTTACATAAAATAGTAATAATAAGAAAAAAACTGCTTCCTCCCTTTAGAAACACTACTTACCCATCTTAATTTCTAAGTAATCTTCTATATTTATTAACTAAATAATTTACAGTCAGACCTCTATAATTGCACTCTCCATAATTGCACCCACTATGTATACCCTCTCTAAATGCACCCTCTGGTTCGGTCCCAAGCTTATATGATCTCTAATTATTTTACCTCTATAAATGCACACCCTCTTTAAATGCACTATTTTGAAAATTATGCATATGGTCCCAAGGGGTGTGCAATTATGGAGGTCTGACTGTATTACTAAAAAAAAATATTTTATTAAATATAATTTTAAATATGGTCAATGCATTGTGAAGCTAAACTCAACATAATATACAAGTAGATTAACAATATTCAATTAATAAACAGTAAAAGAAAAATTCGAAATTAATGCTATTACAAAAAATGTAAATTTCTTCACGAGTATTATACTTACACCCATAAAAGTCAATATGTAGATAGTTTCGACCTTGCTGAACAATTCTCAATTAATCTAGAAAGTCGATTTCATTTGACGAAAAGGGTGTAATTACGCTCTGAAGTTATAAACAGAGAAATAAAAAATTCAAAAGTTAGTACCGTTATGAAAAATGCACTTTTCTCTATAAGTATTATACCCACACTCATAAAAATTAATATATAAGTAGTTTCGACCATGCTGACCAACTTTCAATTAATTTAGAAAGTCGATTTCATTTGACTAAAGTGGTGTAATTACGCTCTGAAGTTATAAACGAAAAAGTGAAAAATTAAAAGTTATTACCATTATAAAAAATATGCTTTTCTATATAAATATCATACTTTGCCTCATGAAAATTAAAATTCAAGTAGATTTAACTTGCTAAACAACCTTACTCAAGTATAAAAGGTAATTTCATATAACCAAAGTGAAATTATATTTTAAAGTAAAACATATTTACAGTAATTTATTTAACAAAAAGATTTAAACATATATAATATGGTAATTTTATATTAAAAATGGTACACTAAGTTTAATAAAAATTAACACAAGATACTATTGAAGATAATTAATAAAACATTGAAAAAACTGAAGTTTCGTCAAAAAAAAAAATTTAATGTATTTATATAAAATTGTGAAATGTAGTACAAAATTAATTGAAAGTAAAATCACCGGTAGTGAAAATAAAATATAAATTTGATATATAATATTTTAAAAAGTTCTATAAATATAAAAATTAAGGCAACTTAAAAACTCTTAGTATTTTAAAATAATACCAAAAACATGCAATTTAATTATCTTACATAGTATAAAATTTCCTTAAAATTAAGCATTATAAAATTCTTACATTATTAAATTCCGTACAATTTTTGATGACAAATTCCGTACAAAAATTGTTAATTTACAAATACTGTACAAATTCAGTCATATTTCGTACAATTCTTTTAATAAATGTATATAATAAATTATCTTAATGTACACATCACTACAAATTCCGTACATATTTCGTATGGAAACGTATAAAACCCGTATAAATAATGAACAATTACTTTTTATAGGGCTGGGGGTAAAAATAAAACTTTTTCTGGGGGGATGTCCTCTCATATTTTTTCTGAAACATCTGCCACATCTGCCACATCCGGGACAACCCTTTCATTATATCCGTTATTCCTTCCTTTTCTATTGTTTTCTAGTTATTTGGTATATATATTTGTTCCATATGTTGTCCCAGATTGTGGCGGATATATGGGGATTCCTGATCCCCCGCAGGGGCGATATAGGTGGAGCGATAGCGAGATATAGGTACTGCGAGGCCCCCTGGCCGAGGTGGGTGGAGCGGTAGCGACACACACACCCAGACCGACGACTTTCAGCTCATCTTCATCAGGAAGTTTTTACTGGTTAAAATCTGCACAGAAATCCATGTGGAACTATCATGGAAATTCCAAGTGGAACCAAT